CGCGACACTGACCAATAAACGTCGATCTGGTGGTTGTCTTCTTATAGGAAACAAAATGCTGCTACACGCCGGGGCTGAATCTCAGAAAGTTAAAAAAGTACAAGTAATTGTAAAAAACAGGAGCCAAGCTATTTTGCCAACAATTTAGTACCTATTGTCCATGACAATAATTTTTCATCAAGCCTTCCCCCTGACTACCCCCTTCCCCCTGACTACGCCCATGGTGATGATTAGTGCTATACACGCGAGAGGTATGCGTATTTCGAAACATTTTACTTTGTCTCAACAGTGGAATAACCATTAAACTATTATTATTTATATTGTGTTTCCACAAATATAAAATTTAAATTTAATATAATTAACTTGCCCTATTAATTAATAATTTACGTAATTTTCTGGAAAATAAATCACACATATTTGGTTACATTCCATTAAATATTATCATATTCCGAAAATGTAATAATAAATACGATATTCGATATAAATATTTATAAGTAAGTAATATTTTATTAAAAGTAAGAACTTTATCAACATTATTCAAGTGGGATAAAGCCGACTAGTGAATTCACAGAATATGAGGATCCGAGTTCACTTTCGTGTCTTTAACTAACCGATATTTTGTTCCCGTTCTTTGGAAATATTGGAATTATTCCAATATTTCCAATGGAATTTATTTTCGAAACCTGGGAAATTGCCGACTTCGGAAAAGTAGGCGGGGTGTGACACCCCTGATGGTCAATAAAAATGTTTACATAAAAAGTTAAGGTATTTTGTAAAAAAAAACATATTTTCGCCTTTTAAACTTTTAATAACGGAAGTATTTTAATTATTTCGGAATATATACATATAAGTATTTTTAATAATGCCTATTTCAAGTGTTGAGGTTTTACATATTTTTTAGTACAAGGATTTGTTTAAAGTGTTCTTTAAACCCAATCTTATATTTTTTTACTTATTTACTTCTAAACTAATTAATTAATTTCTTCATTTCATTGAACTTGAATCATTATTTATAACAGTGAAAGTGTTGCATTACATTCTTTGTATAATCCTAGTGTTGTTAACGAATAGTTAAAATATACTGCTTTCAAATCTTTATTTCATTTTGTTTAATAAACATAGCGGTTGTTTGCAATAAAAAGAAACCCAATACTTATGTATCTTTTATTGTTTTTCAGTTGCATTGCATGTAAATTAATGATTAAATTTAAGTTTTAGATTACATAAAAAAGTCTCCAATAATTACTAAGGGGGCGTTCAAGTATTTCGTAAGCAGCTGCAAGATTTGTGGGGCAGGGGTTCATTTTTTTAAATTTTGCTGATAAAGCAACCTGCTCTCTAAAAATGAATTAGTCAAAAATGACTAATTGTCATAGCGAAAAAGCACCCACTAATAATTCTCGTCAATAGCAATTTGTTTCCCGAACATTTAGCAGTCAATGAAAAAATTGTACCCGGAATCCGAAAATGTCGTCAAAAGTTATAAAAGTAGAACATTCTTTGAGATATAGTCAATTTTCCATATAATATCTCAAAAACTGCTCTAGGTACTCATAATTTTTAACGGTATTTTCGGATTCATGGGACAATTTTACATAAGAATTGGCTATTAAATGTTGGGGATCCCATGTTAACCATGGTATAAGTAAAAAAGCAGCCACTAATAAGTTATTAGTGGCAGCCGCTAATAAGTTATTATTATTAGTAATAACTGTAGTAACTTGTAATTTTTGACTAATTCATTTTTAGAGGGTGGGGGATATAATAAATCTTAAGATAAAATAAGAAAATAATGCAAATGTTTTCACACATAATACATATACAAGTGGTATGAATATTATCAATAAGTCCGTAGGACGGATGAAATGTGCTTCTTTTGTTTCAATGATAAATTACCATTGATTACACAGGTCTGCAAAATTATTATAATTTAAAGTTTTTTAAGTGTTAATATTCGTTATAAATGTCTTGAAAGTAATCTAAAATGATATTCATAATATGAATATATTATGGTACCTATACACTACGGTGTTAGTACCTTCTACTGATAGGTATATATCTTTTAAACTTTGCATTTATTTTTATTAATACATGGCAGTGGCGGATTGTGGATTTGGGGTATACCGATATCTTAGTAGATATGGGACCCACACTAAACTTATATGAGTTTATAATGACATTAAATAGACAAGTTCTGCGCAAGGCAGAATTTAAATTGAAGTTTCCCTAATTAGGATTATTCAAATTAAAGTGGCGCAATTCACTACATTTTATCGGCAAATTTCAAAATTTATTTAAAAAATCCAAGAATTACAGATTTTATACAATTTTTTTTTACTCTTTTAAATATTCCCGGATCCAGGAGCTCCCTATGGGGGGCACTTGCACAATTATACTTGGTATACCTACATGATAAAAATATGGTCTAAAAGAAAAAAATAACATTTTAGATACATGAGTGTTTACATAATTTTCTTTAGTATCTACAAAATTAATTACTAAAACATCCAAAAAAATAATTAAATAAGTACAAAAAGTTTTTATTTAATTTAATTTAGTTCATTTTTGTCAAAAAAATACAATACAATAATTCTGTATTATTAGGCTGACAAATAAAAAAATGATTACCCCACTTAGATCCGCGCAAGCTCGTAAATGTAAATTTTTACATTAAAAATTGAAATTTGGTCCTTTAAAATACAAAATGACTTTAGTAATTATACATCTTTTATTCAAACTTTCTTACACAAATTTGTGACACAAAATTAAATAACTCACAAGTCGGTATTATTAAATATATATATTTTGCAAGTGAAAACTACAACTTTTACAAATAACACAGATCTTTTAGAGTTTATTAATTTAATTTTATCACACCAGTAACAATAAAAAAAATTGAATTTTAAATTTAGTGACCGCATGAAAAATAAGTAAATAAGGTGATACAAATATTCGCTGGTTTGATATTAATGAATTAAATTATTTTTTAATCAAATTAAAGAATTTACATTACATTTTCTATACGTTTTTAATTGAGAAAGTGGCTAATTCTTAAACTGTGGAGAACATTTACCTCTTTCTCCATGGGTTATGTCCGAGGGGTAAACCGCTGATTTTTTTAAATTGCTTACGAATTAACGGCTAAGGATAACAATAACAAGGGTAGTCATGCGCAACGCGTCGCTAAGCCCTGATTAAGCAAGTTTTCCGTATTGATAACGACTGATAAGGAAAAAAATCACAACACAGCGTCCACTAACATTGAATTGGTTCTAAGATTTTAAAGTGGTTTACCCCCTGATTATGTCATTGTTACAGTATACTGTTCAACTTTTAACTTCGAATTTCGTTTTATATTTTTGATACATGAATTAATCTTGAATTGGTGAAACACTAAATAATAAACATACCTAAACGATGTTCAATTGCATTTTAATCTTGGGCTGAATTAGGCTTTATTATAAATTGCGAAAAAGTGAGGTTAAATTTGTCAGATATCAAATATTTAACAATTAAAATTGGCTTAAAACTCTTATTTGTGTTGGTCGTAGATAAAGTGGCGTAAATAAAAGGCGTTCATGAAACTTGATAACTAATATAGTATTTTTAAATAATAAATATAAACATTATAATAACTTAATAAATATAAACATTATAAAGTTTTGAAAAAAAATACGTCTTATCATTTGGAGGCGAAGGGTCCGCCAATTTCTTATTTCTGCTTATACACGGGGGTCAGGGGGTCTAAAATCATTGAAACTTTGCTTACGAAATACAAAAACGTCCTCTAGTTAAAATACAAAGTAACCTAACAGTTTTGTTTAAAAACTATAGTTTTACATGATTTATAAAAATTTACCAGTTTTTGTATTAGTTTTTAGGAACTTAAAGTACACATTAAAATGTTAATTAAGTAGGTACTAATCAATTAGCCTTAAACATTTTTTTCAAAAAAATGTAACCTCGTGGAATGACGGCAACATGTAATTTTTAAATTGTGAATGTAAAAAATCAAACATATATAGCTTTGTGACAGCCAAACCATGGTACGGATCAATACACAGCATTGCAGAAACTTATTTGGCAGATAACAGAAATAATATAACATAAAGGACTCAGAAAGGTCATCTAAACAATTAATTCTATCCGTATAATTTGTATTATAGCGTACGTACGTAACAAAGTCAATTAATTGATTAAATTAATTTATTATTAAGTTTTATATTTTTTTAAAAACTGTTTTTTTATTATGGTTTGCAATAATTGATTTTAACTAAATTAGTGTTATAAACAATATTTTAAAATTGTTATTTGCATTAACAAAGCAATATGTGAATCATCATAAAATATTTGTTTTGTGCACAGATGGATGCATAGTTCGCTGTGTGCTTTATCTTCCAATTAAAATTAAACAAAGGACTTTAACTGGACAATGACCAGTTTAATCTGATTAATAATGAATCACAAATAAAGACTTAATTGATTTCTTTTTAATTTGCATATCTACCTAAATTTTTACGAACCAGACAATTAATAGCAACTATTTTTGTATATAATTTTGTTTTAATGTTGTTAAGTATGGGTATTTAAAAAACAATGTTTAATTAAACTTGTAATATGACCTTAAAAATAGAATAAATATACAAAATAAGTAGAGCTTGTTTTTTATTTAATCTCTAAATTTATTAAAGAAAGTACCTAAATAGAAACACATTGTTTTTCTTATTGGTAAAGTTTAAAAACTATTAAAACTGGTAAAAAAAGTTTACATGATTATGAAAATTTTCTATTTTGTTAAATTTAATTTAAGTAGGTATAATTAATCAACAATATATTAAAAACTCATTAAATTTTTCTAAAACTTTCACCAAAGTCTACAACTGTAATAAAATTACCTACATCAAGTGCAAATAAAAATCTAAGGACATGATTTATTTATCTAATAAATTAAAATATAAAACCAATCAATTTAAATTAGTGTAAAAAGGGTTGATACGTACATTTTAACATACCATGCCTCTTTGACACCTCCGCTTTGTTGGTCTAAAGCAGTGAGTATATTTTTATTCTTCTGGCTCTGACACTTAGACATTAACGTCATATTCCAGTATCACAATGCCACGAAAAAAACTTTTTTGTAACAAATCAACAATACATATTTACTGTTAAACAGATAAAACAAAAACAACGGTTCACTATCATGCTGTAGCGACGGCGATGTCCACCCAGCGCGATCCAGCAGGCTACGCGAACAACTGACTGTCTGCGCACAGCATTCCCTGATCTTTCTCCTGCTGGCACAAGCGAGTCGGAATAAGAATTATATTACTGCTGAACGCATTGTTCGTTCTTGGTATAGGCTCAATAATAAATGTCTGCAGTTTATACTGCTGCATGGGTAATGTTAATTTTGGGGTATTTATTTTATGAAGGACCCCTTTTAAATACCAAACGTCGGTAAAAGTATAATTTTTAATGCTTGTCTAAATTATCATAATTTTAGCACTGGCGTTAAAAATAAATGAAGTGAAAATAGAAAAAAATAACCTTCCGCATGGGATATATCTCATGCAGAAGGTTATTTTTTTGGAGGATGATGCAGGATGACACATGTATGTTTCATCCTGCATTTCTGAGAGAAATTTTTCAATACTTTTTCGGTTCAAAAAAAGCAACAAGTTTGTAACATTTACTTATGTTCTGATTCTTTATGTTCATCATCTCCTTTAACACGAAATATTTTGACTAATTTTTATATTTTGGACTTTTATTCAAAGCATTCCAAAACTTCCCAGTGGCAAGTTGCTACTAACATTTTTCAGATCACACCACACTCCACATCGGGATTGTGGATCAAACCATCTTAAGATCTTAAGATTGTACGAAAATCACATTCACATTCTATGTCACGAGATTTGTTACTACTAAGAAACCTTAGCAACATTATAAAATTCATGTACCATTGAATTTCAAAATGATATTTTATTAATTTAATAAGGTAAGAAATGCATTAATTTGTACTTTTAATGGTGTTTGTACAAAAAATACTGTATGATATACAAATGTGCTAAAAGTGATTTATTTTATTATCTATCTTTAAGCCTAAAATTGATATTTTTTTAAAACTTTAGGTAGGTAATTCATTCTGGAGATAAAAGATACACAGAATAGAAAAGTTCGTCCACACCGAAAGCAGCATCAAAAGCAGAATAAATAAGTTTTCTTGGAAAAAACAAAATTAAAATAAAAAAGACAAGAATTGTATGATTTTCTCCAAAAAACTTAAAATATTTTTTAAGCGTATATTATTTTTCATATTATGGCACTGATAAGTCTATATACTATGTATATGCATATATATATCATGAGAACCCTAGAAGCCAAGGGATACAAGTGACATTAACAAAAAAAATGTAGTTATGTACAGGAAAAGATAGTAAATGGTACATTTTACTTGATATCCAAGGAATATAACTAAATTCTAAGCTTAGACATTTAGAGATAACTTTAAACATGATTATCTTAAAACTAAACAAAATGTACTTATACCCCTTGGCTAGAGTTACCGCGAGACGAGACGAGACGAGATAAGGCCTTGTCTCGTCTCGTCTCGAAATTTCGAGATAACATTTTTCGAGACGAGACGAGACGAGACAAGTTCGAGACGAGACGAGACAAGGCCTTATCTAGTCTCGTCTCGTTTTGTCTCGTTTGTCTCGAATTGGTTTGGTTTTTTGGTTTGATGAAAAATAAATCATACCAAAAATTTGAAACAATTTATTGTAAAAATATGCACCGACTAGGCCAATTCCACCTATACAAGAAACTGAAGAAAAATCTGGCTCAGATGAAGACATGAATATTGAATTTTTATTCAAAAAGGCTACTCCTCAATCCGAAACTAAAGCGTTTTGGAAACAAGAACTAAACGCATACTTTTATTCAGAGAGAGCATCAAAAGGGGAAATATTGTTGGAATGGTGGAAAAGAAATTAAGTAAATTATCCTACACATTTCAAAGATGGCAAGAGACCTATTAAGTATTACCGCAACAAGCGTTCCTTCAGAACGCCTTTTTTCAAAAGCTGGATTAGTAGTCACTGAACTTCGGAATCGACCTAATGCTGAGTCGGCTCGTCCATTATTATGTCTTAATTCATGGTACACTTGTAGGTACGTTAAAAGATAAGCTAAACTTTGATTAGTGAAACTTACCTATTCCTATACTTACCCTATGCTGTAATACCAAAATACTTTTTAATGATTTAGGATTTTTTTTAGTTACCTATTAGCGCTTGAGAAGGCACGACGCGTGTGTGAAAGCTCTTAAAACGTAAAAGTTTAAAGATTAAAACCAACAATAATTTTAAAAAAGTGCAAACTAATAAAGTGAAACAAACAATTTAAATACGGCATATATCTTTAGCGCAATAAATCTGTCAACAAGAAATGCGTAATGCAATCCCAAACGAAACCGAAAATAAACACTAGACTCACAGAATAAACTAACACAGTAATCACTATAATTCTAACACAGTAAAAAAAAGCCTAGCTCTACTAGATTTGTAAACATTAGATAACAGAATAATTGCGCTTGTCATTTGTTTAACTAATAAATAACTGCAATACTTCATTTTGGAATTTAAGAAAAAAAGACAAAACTCTACCACAAAACTTGCTTGGGACAAAATTTATTAAAAACAACTGACACACTTTACCAAGTGTAGGAACTATCTGACCAGGATACGGACAATGACAATAACGAACAAGACAAAGACCTCGACTAGGAAACTACACCCCTGCAGCGAAATAACAACTCCCCAACTCCAAATAGAAATCCCAAATGTTTGGAGTAATACTAATCGACTGGTCTAGGGGGATTCCGCGTCGTACTTAGTTTTAAGTCGGCGTAATTGTCCCCCAAAAACCAACACCCTCCCGTCCCTCCTCCTATACCCAGCAAACACGGGTGAAGCCGTGCAGTTGCTGGGGGCGAACAAAAATCGGCGTAAGTAAACATAGGCCTGTACGGGGTCCGAGAGTGATGATGAAATGGGGCTGGTTATACGTCTCTTATACTCATATACTCATACTCATACTTACCTATTTCCCTGTAATGTGATATTCGTACTAACATTGTTAATGATATATTTAATATTTATTTTCGGTTTAGAGTTTATTGATTTATTTTGTTTATTATAAAATACATTTATTTGGTTTCTTTTTTACTGTTTATTCTCTATAAGGTATGTATGTATGTCCTCGAAAACACCATGCAGTTTTTGAATAAAGGTTTTATATTTTATTACAAGTTTTATTTTAACAATTTATATGCACGAATTACCAGCTCATACCCTATAATGCTGTTTTTTGCTAATTCTGAAGTTAAAAACAATTATTAAAACTTAAATGCTGTTATTATCATTCGTTTAAAGCGTATTAAGTCATTAAAATATTTCGAATATGTCTCGTCTCGTCTCGTCTCGCCTTGTCTCGAAGGATGTTATCTCGTCTCGTCTCGAAATTCGAGACAAAATGCTCTCGAGACGAGACAAAATGCCTTCGAGACGAGACGAGACGTCTCGTGTCTCGTGTCTCGCGGCACCTCTACCCTTGGCTTCTAGGGTCCTCATATAGTATATAGCAGGACTTCATATTAATACTAGTTCAAATGTCAACTTATTATAAGCCTCCGTATAAAGCTAAAATGTCAAACCTAACCTAAGTATCATAGATGACCGATGACCGATGGGACAGTATCTTTAAAAAAATTAAATTAAATGCTTAAAGTATATTGCACACAATCTACTAGCGCTAGAGTATAATATGAGCTTACTCTGCCTGATCTACCGGTTGAGTTTTTTAAAGTGTTACAAGGGGATATTTCGAAAACGTTTTAAATTTTTTTTATGAAACTTTTTTAAACTAATAGAAAGGGGGACATATTTAAACATATTTTTGACATTTACCCCCTTTCCCTATTTTGAGGGACAGGGAGTAACTAATCGAATCTTGTTAAAAACTAGGTAGGTATTTGGGAAACAAAAATTGTTTTGCGCTTTCGCTTATGAAATTATGATTTATTACATACTAAAAAATAATGGGGTAGTTAAATTTTTTCTGACCTATACTTTTTATGGTTTTATTCAAGGCGTTTTGTAATATTAAACATTTCTGTGAAATCAGAATTTCAATTGAGTTTACCGTTTTTGAGATATTTACAAAAAATATAAATTTTTATGATGTCACAAACCTCGCCATGTGACCAACATTCTAAGATTTCTATTGGTTAAAAATTACCCTGTTGTCAAGTTGTCTTGTTAATGATTTCATTCGGTTATGTCAGAAAATACCCGAAGAGGTTATGTACAAATACTGTCACTGTCAGTTGAGTGAAAGATGGTCACCAAATTCATTAAGTACCTATCTTCCTTATTACGAGGTATCATATTACTGTTTGATATTTTAGAGTCCAAGATATATCTAAAAGAATTAATATAAAGAACTAGGCATTATACTAATGAAATGCATTTTTCTACGACAAAATATGATTATAATTATAGGTACTTACTTTATTTGTTTAAAAGCTCCAATGTTCAATGTAACCAACCATTCCACAAGATTCCTCTGCTTTGGAGTCCGTTATTAATAAATCACTTATCTAATATCAATTACAAATAACATAACAATAACATTGATTTTCAATAATCTAAATTTAAAAAAAACATAACCCGAAAAAAAGAAACGTCAAAAAATCAATTCTTCTCAACTAAAATTATAGATCAAGTGGTTTTAAAACTAAAATATTATAACGTGGCGCCATCTATCGTAAGAATCTTAAACTAAACACACTGGCAACCTTAGAAAAAGCTGGCAACGTTGTCAATAGCCTAGTGACGTAATTAGGATATTTTTTTTTGTAAATATCTCGAAAACGGTAAACTCAATTGAAATTCCGATTTCACAGAAATGTTTAAAATTACAAAACGCCTTGAATAAAACCATAAAAAGTATAGGTCAGAAAAAATTTAACTACCCCATTGAAGTGGCAAGAAGCAAAAGTGCAAAAAAGAGAAGTGGAGATATTAACTTTTTGCTATATTCAAAAATCTGGATACTTGTTTCAATATTGTTGTTTACATTAATCAACGTGCAGAACTCGTACAATTTTCACATTATGAGAAAATTTTTAAAAAAAATTTGACTCTAATCTGCCCAATTCTGCATCTAACTTATTTTCATGCTAAATTGCAGTTG